TGACTGCTTGCACAGCAGGACCTGCATCTCAGGGGAGCGAGGCCATTTGGGAATGGCACAACTCTGAAGGGACAGAGCAGGGTTCATGCCTGGACGATGAACGCCAGACGCGGAGGCCGGCACCGCAGGCTGCGGCGCTTTGCCCACTTCACGTTTGTGGGTGGTTTTCCTTCTTGTCATGAACCATTCATGGGCCACCTCCTCCCAGTTGGGGACTGAGACAATCAGAGGGACAGGGTTGTGATCTGTCTGGAAGGGGAGTGGCTGCCGTTCTGAGAGGAGGGTGGTCCAAGGTGCCTAGGGTGGGATCTCCTTAAAGTGGCCAAGGGGTTTGCTTCAGGAGGGAGGCCTTGAGTTGGCACTTCACAGAGACTGGGAGCTCGGTGGGCCCTGTGTGGGGACAGGGGGGCGAGGTCCGGGAGCAAATGCCCTCCTGGTGCACCTGCCCCTCTGGGCTGCTTCTGAGTCTCTTCCTTCCTTGTGCCCCTTGTCCTCTGCACCGGCTTTGTCCCCTGGTGGGAGTGGAGACCCGCCAGCCCACCCTGCAGTTTCTGGGTCTCCCTTCAGCCTTAAGAATTCTCCAGATTTATTTCCTCGTACAGCGTTTGCGGCATCAACTCAGTGCCAGGCAGGCATCAAGGGTTTACGCCAACTTCGGAGCATGCACTCTGCCTTTCAGAGGAGGAAACTGGCCCTGGCAGTGGACGGGACTTGCCCAAGGCCCCACAGCCGCAGGTCCCGTGCACTGACTGCCCTTCCCACACCGTCTCTGGACCATCTCAAACTGGCCCGAGCCCCTCCCGCCAGCAGCGCCTCTTCCCACCCGCACCCAGCGAAGCCGGGATAAATGCTCTCTGGGGACTACAGGAAAAGGGCATCTTAATTCCACTCTGTTGGTGATCTGGTGATAGGCACACGCAGGCGTGGGACTTGTCCGTGGGATAATACCTGTAGGAATAAAAAGTGCTGCCCCTTACTCCCCTAGAGTCCGTCTTAAAGACACACAGTGACCTCATTTAGCTAATTTTGAAGCTCATTTTGGAGACATTACCAACACGTGGAGGGAAGCAGGAGGCCCTACTAGCGTTAAAGCTGTGAGGACTCTGTGGGCCAGTCCGGTCTGGGACCCGTGGTGTCTGGCTCATTGTGAAAGTCCAAGATGTATTAGTAATGCTGACTTTGGCCTTCATTCTGTCCTTGCCCAGAACTTGTTGGGGGAGACGCAGACTTAGAATTTATGTGTCTTGCGCAAGTTACACATCCAAGGAAGGGTGGAGATAGGGTTTGAACCCAGGTCTGTCTCCAAGACTGGAACTCTTTCTAGGTTCTTCAAAATCAGCCACTTGCTTCTGCCATCGGTGAATCTTGAGTTCAGTCCTTAGGGCTCAGCTCAGGATGAACGTGACCTTGATTTGGTTGATGCCCCCCACTTTCCTGCCAACTGCTCTGAGGCCAGGGCCTGAGGAGTCCAGGAAGAAGCCTGTATCTGTCCCAGCCTCAGCTCATCATTCACAGTCATCCTCAGGGCTGCACCCCATGCCTCTGGGGGCCCAGGTGGGGAATCAGGCTAGAGGGTGAAGTGGATTCTCTAGCCGTGGGCTGGGTTCAGGGGAGCCAGGCCCTGGCTCCCTGCATAGTCCCAGGCCACCAGCTTCACCTCTGCCCCAAGGTGCGTTTGAGCTCTGCCCAGGCTCCTTCCCTCCCTGGGGTCAGCGGACAAGGGTCAGCCCGATGCACAGGGCCCCATTCTCTGGGCCCTCTCTCTGGGGCCCAGGGTGACTTGATCTCCCCTCCTGAAGAATCAAGAGGTGGGCTAGTGGGGAGGGCTAGGCAGTTGTTGAGCTTCATAAAAAACCCTCGATCCCTCCTGGGGGTGGCCTGGGAGGGGGGCGTTGCCGCAGCTGTGGCGAGGAGCGCCTGCTGAAGGAGACAGTAGAACAGCTGAGGTCTTCAGTGCCCCTGGGAACAGCGAAGCTTGGGGGGCACACAGTGAGAGTTCACGTGTTTATGGACTGGGTGTGTCACACTCAAGCCTCTGGACCAATGGCGGCTCGGAGCAGGGTGCTGGAGACAGGGTAGGGCAGCAGGTGTGCGAGGGTGGATGAGATCCGTGTGCACACGTGTGGGGAGGAGGGGCCTGCAGACCTGCAGGGGAGCAGGGCTGAGTGAGACAGGGCTTCCCGGCCTGCAGGGCCAGCCTGACTGTCTGGGTAGTTGGGGTGGTCACCTTTCTCCTGGAGCTGGGAGATCACGTCTGGAGCGAGTCAGTGCTCCCCCAGGAAGTTAGTTAGTGCCCGAACACTGACGAGTGTCTGCCGGGCCAACCCCAGGTAGTGTCAGCAGAGCCACTGACACCTCGAAAATGCCGTATGTGCCTTGTGGGCATCTTTCGGTCACATCGCTTGGCAGAGGGAGGCGTGGCTGGGCATGGCTGGGCATCCCGGTGGGATTTGCCCTGCTGGGCTCCCAGGGGTTGGTTTGGGGAAGCAAATACGGAGGCAAAAAGCTTAATCGAGGGGGTGGCGTTGGGGCCGGAGGATGGAAGAGGGATCTGAAATTCACATATTCATTTACTTGGCTATTTGCCCGAGTGATATTTCCAGAACTTTCCTCTGTAATCCCTGCAAATGGGAGAAGGAATGAGACGTGACCCTGCCCTCAGGAGGCCACATTTAGAGGGACACAGACAGATAAACAGGCCAGATGACTCCACAGGGAAGAAGGATGGGGCTGGGGGGAGGCAGGGGAGGGCCCAGAGCTGGTCTGGGAAGGCTTCCTTGGGTAGCTGCTGCTTGGAGGCCAAGGAGGAGGAGCCGCCTTCCAGCAGAGAGGACAGCAAGGCACCCTGCACAGGACCTGGTACACCGTAGGCACTCAGTACTTGTGGAAAAATCAGTCCATGGTGTGTAAGTACGCAGAAGACTCTGTTAGAACCTGGAGGGCCCTTGCGATCTGGCTGCCCCCCACCCTTCATTTCCAGACGGCTAAACTGAGGTCCGGAGCTGGGGACGGATACGCTGAGGGTGCTGGCCTGGAGCTGGGGCAGAACCCAGGTGAACCCCCCAGTTCGACCTTTGGCTGCCCCCAGCCCTCTGTCTCTGTGGTTTGGAGTTGGGTTCGCTCGCTCTGTGGGGACATGGACTGTGGGAGGTGGCAGAGAAGGGGATGGGCTGCAAAACGACACGGCGGGGTGTGGCTGAGTGCAGCAGTCACTGTCGAGTCTTCTCTGAGGCCTTGGATACTTGGCAGCGTGGCGCTGCACCCCAACAAGGCTGTTCTGGGGCTGGTGGGCACGGGGGAGCTCAGCTGGGGTACTGGAGCCCTGGCAGCCCCCATCACCTGCCCCACAGAACTGTACCCTGTCGCTGTCCCAGGCGGAGGTTACTGACCCACCAATGTCTGTGTGAGCCCAGCATGGCTCCAGGCACAGGCTCAGGGCCAAGGAAGTCCTCCTGGCGCCTGGCTCCAAGGGCCTTAAGTGTAACGAGAGAGATTGAGGGCCCTGAGGCTCTTCGGAGCTCTTGCTCTGTGCTAGCTGCTGGGCCAAAGGCTTCCCATGGTGGTCTGTGTGAGCCCCCTGCCAACCTTTGAGGCATGTTCAGCTGTAATCCCCATTTGAGGGATGAGGCAACTGAGGCATGGAGAGCTTCAGTGACTTGCCTGGGCCACACGGCAGGAAGTGGAAGTGACTCCAATCCCAGGGCTCTAGGGGGGGGTCAGAGCACCAGGAGCAGCAGGAGAAGGACGGAGAGCCCCGCCCCCTGCCCCCCCCCCCCAGCTCCTTTTGTGTCCTGTACTTATGGATGGAATGTGCCTAGAGGCAGATGCCATTTCTCAACTGGGGGTCTCTGCCCAGGCTGGTGTCCATTTGTTCCCTCACTCATTCACCCTGTCACCCCAGACTGAATGCTTGGCCCACGTGCAGGAGCTATGCTAAGCCCTGGGGAGACCGCCAGGCAGTTTGCACTGCTGAGGGCCAGGCTGAGGACCCTTTAAATCTCCCAGGCCAATTCTGATTGATTGGTAGGGTCTGCCCAGGGTTGGAAGGGGTTTGGCACATGTCCCAATTGATTAGTGATGTCTGCCAAGGGCTCAGCTGGGAGCCTGGGAACCTGCTGGGTAGGTGCCCATGGGTTGAGGATGGAGCATCTGTTGAGTGCTTTGGACATCTGGGGGGGCCTAGCAGTCAGAGTGGGGTCTGGGCGTCAGGAGAAATGGGCCCTAGCTCTACTGGCCTGTTTTCCCTGGGTGAGAACCATCCCCTCTTGTGGGCCTCAGTTTCCTCATTTGACGCCTTCTTTAGGAGGCAAGGTGAGTATCGTAGGACTTGAAGTGTTTTGAAGAGTGGAGGGGGTTAGTATGGAAGTGAAATGGGGAACTTCCCTCCCTCATTTCTCCTTTCTCAAAATCCTGCCAGAAGCTGAGTGTGCCGGTCAGGCCAGAGTTAATCCTGGGCCTGCCCCGGATCCATCCGGCGTGTGGGTCGGTGGCTGGGGGGCAACTCAGCGCTTCCCGGCTGGGAGATGTTTTTATAACTCACTTAGTACAGACCTTTGTCCCTACACTGGGTTCAGCTGGGTGTTTCTAAGGAGAAGTTCCTTGGATCTTAGGGACTGAATCTTAGAATTTCTTTTCTCTCATTTGAGTGGTGGTAGCTGATGTGTGTGCCGCCTGCCTCCCCCACCTTCCCACTCAGTGAATAAAACTACAGACCATTGTGCCAGACACAGAATTGTTTCACAGAGATTTTTCATTAATGCTCAAAACCACCCAACTGGTGGGGAGTAATATAATTCCTATGTCACAGTTCAGGACACTGAGGCCCAGAGGAGACAAGTTCTGGGGTCACGCATCTCCTGACCACAGGACAGGGCCAGCCTCTGGTCTGATGGAGGGAAAGCTCCATCCTTGACCAGCTCTGCCCCGCCCCTGCTCTTTTGTCCATTCACTCAAGGTTTCACTTACTCCCTCAACCTCGTGTTCTTCCGCAAGTATCAGGTGCCGCTGTGTACCAGGCTCTGCTTCAGCTTGTGGAGCCACGAATCTTGCATTCCCGACCGGATGTGAAGCAAACAGGAGTAAGTAAGCAGATAAACAAACAAGGCCGCAGGGAGGGCGATAAAGGAAGTGACCAGGGGACTGGGGGAGGGGACCATTCCCGCCCCGCTGAACCCGGCTTCTCCAGTGGTCTGTCCTGCGCATAGGTTGTCCCCTGCTTCCCACCGCAGGTGGAGTTTTGATACTGCTGATGTGGAACAAAGCAGGGTTTTGGCTTTTATTTTGAGAGCATTTCTTAAAAAAAAAAAAAAGTCGTCTTATGTGCGTGTGTGAAGAGAGAATGAGCTAGAGACAGCCCAGTGAGTACTGATTGTCCTCAACTCATTTTTTAAACACTGGGGCCAAAGAGGATTTCAGTTCTGGACCGTGTGCTGGTGGGAGGACACCTGGCAGGGCTCTCGACGCCCCTGTCCTCAGGGACCCGACCCAGGCCCTTGCGGGCCCAGGGGCTGTCCCCTTTGTCATTCAGACACATCAACTGAGGCATGGGAGCAGGAAGCTTCTGCGCAGGCTCCGCCCATGACGAGTGGCGAGGAGGGGGGACAAGGTTCACCTAGGACTTTCGGGTCAGCTCTTTCCGCTGCTATGCACATGGCCTGCTCCATCTCTCTCTCTCTCTCTCTCTCTCTCTCTCTCTCTCACACACACACACACACACACACACACACACACACAGAGGGCTGGGTGAGTTGTCCCAAGTTGCAGCTCTGGCCTCAGGAGGGATGGAAAGGAGGGCAGGACCCCGGCCTGTGACCTCAAAAGGGCTGGCATGAGTCTGGCTGACGGGAGGGGCAACCTAGTGGTTTGTGCTGCGGGGGGTGGAGGGGCGGTGGGCAGAGCCTTCTTCCGGGACTGACCCCAGGATGGAGCAAAGTGGGGCTCTCTACCTTGTGTCCTTGGCGGTGGCTCCCGGTGCCCTCCCCTTAGCCATTTATTGGGCATTTACTGTGCACTAGCCACTACGTTCTTTATATGAGCCGCCTGATTGGGTCCTCGTGATTGACCTCTGACTCAGGTGCAGTTATCGTCACGCCCACTTCCCAGACCAGGAGGCGGAGGCCCAGAGTGAGGGCCTCACCGCTCATACTGACTGCTGTGTAGACTTCTCTGCCTTCCTGCGCTTTCAGTACCGGTGCCTGCGGAGGCAGACGGCGGAAGGAAGCAGGTGGCCTCTTCTGTCCCTGAGGACCCAAGAACCTTCGGTGCTGTTCCGGGTTACCTGACCGCCCTGCTGTTAGCACTCAGGGTCGGGAGGGTGCTTTGGCCTCTAGCCCTGGCCCCAGCATGGAGTCTCCTCTCCCCTTTCTGCGGCCTTCAGCCTTCCTTGTGGTGGGGTCCCTTCTCAGTGCCTGGTTTTCCTCCTTGCCAGTGAGGACACCTTCAGTCTTATTCATAAGAAAATGGGAGTGATTTCTATAAAAATCTGTGTGAGTTGGGTGATGCTCTATTGCAGTAACAAATAACTCCTGAAATCTTAGAGACTTGACTCCATAAAAAGTCTCTTTTTTCTCACATAGCGGTGCAGTGTGGGTTAGAGAGCTTTCCTCCAAACCCCTCCCATTGTCGGTTCCACCATCCAAAATTTTTTTGCTTCTGGCTTTGCAGGTGTGGAAGGTAGAGCTAGTACAAGGATGATGCAGCAAGATGTTTTCTGGTGAAGCCAGAATAGGCATGTCTCCCTTCCATTGGCCAGACTGGAGTCACATGGTATGGCCTAGCTGCAAGGGAGGCTGGGAAATGTAGTCCTCAGGTGCTCTCTGGAGGCAAATGGCTAGATTCAGTAGATACAGTTTTGTAGGGCAGGGCCATAGCCTCTGTGCTTGGCAGTTTCTTTGTCCCCAGCAGATAATGGATACCCACTACTGTCTGTTCACTGAACAAATGTGTCTTGAAAAGGTCTTGATGGACAACTGAATTAGCTTTGCATGTATCAGATATGTACAAAATATATTTCAGCCCTGGCTCCTGTGGCTCAGTGGATTGAGCACCAGCCTGTGAACCGAAAGGTTTGAGTCCCGGTCAGGGCACATGCCTGGGTTGCGGGCCAGGTGCCCAGGTGGGGGCGTGAGAGAGGCAACTGTTTCTCGCACATTGATGTTTCTCTTTTTCTCTGTCTCCTTCTCTTCCCCTCTCTCTAAAAATAAGTAAATAAAATCTTTGAATACATACACATACACACATTAAGCACTTACTGTGCACTAGCCACTAAGTTCTTTATATGAATTGCCTGGTGAAATCCTCCTGATAGAACTCTGACTGAGGTGCAGTTATCGTCACGCCCATTCCTCTCTCACACATGCTAGATGGATGTTAATGTAGATATTATTATAACACAAAATATAATATGTAATACAGCATTAACATATATCAACACATACACATTACACATGTAACATTAACATATACATAATGTATGACATTATTATAATATATTAATAATAATATATATTAACATCCATCTAGCATGGAAGTCCCTCTTGAAAAGAAAAATATGTTTTAACCAGTCTTGCCCCTCCCCTACTGGTGAGCACCGTTTTTAAATCAACAAGCGCCATTCATTGTTGATTCATTCATGGTATCTTTGATGAGTGGAAGGATAGATTGGGTCATTCTTTCAGCAGATGTCCATTGAACACCTACTGTGTGCTAAACAGGACATTAGAGGGGGGGAGGACAGTCCGCTCTCCAATGCCATGCGATATGCGCAGGGAGGCAAGGCCATCCCAAGGTAGTGAAATCAGACACCATTCAGTCCAACGAAAGCACACCTGAATTTCCCACCTGTAATACCACATACTGAATTTAATCTACTCTAAGGTGCTCCCTCACTTCATTTCTAACATCTCTGAAGTGGGGCTGTGTCTTGCCATCGGTAACATCTTAGATTTGACAGAGTCTGGTATTTTGTTGGTTGGACTATAACATTTATAATGCGTATCACACAACATAATCTTCCCTTCCACATTAGTGACTAGTTCCTTCCCGTGTTGATTAAGGAAAGCTCTGGTATGTTCAGGGTCACAGGGAAGAGAAAGGAAGCATTCATTCTTGAGCACTGAGTAAGTACTAGGCACTGCGCTCGGTGGCCCACTGCATGGTGTCTTATGGACCCCATCAGGCAGCTTGTATAACCCCCGATTTACAGATGAGGAGATCAGAGCTTTTCTAGACGCACTCACAGGAAGCACTGGGGTTCCCACTGGGTGCAGTCCTACAGCAGACGCCCACCTGCAATGCAGGCGTTGGTCCCATCGCTCAGGTGAGGGAACTGCAGTGCACGGAGCTCGCCTGCATCAGAAAGTGGCAGAGCTGGGGTTTGAAATCGACAAGCCTTTTTGTCTCCGAAACCCAAATGCTTCATGACTCTACTCTGCTGCTTTTGGCTTCCTCGTGGTTTTGAAAATGAGGCCGACTGATTGGGGAACCTTTCTGAGCTCAAACCTTGAAGTGAGTCTGTTAGAGGTCCTTGTCCTCCAGGGTTCTGGATGCAGATGCCCACCGGGCTAGTCTTTGCCCAAAAGGACCCAAGATACTGATGAAGCTGAAAAGGCAGCTGGTGAAATTAGTGATGCCAGCCTCGCTCACAGCACTTGAGAGCCTGGCTGGTGGGAACTTAGAAAGGGTATTTGATGGCTAACAAGAATGTGTTTAATACTGGTAGTGGGCTTCATGCAGAAGTTCCCAACACAGGGTCTAACTCTTCTCCATCCCAGGGTAGACTGGGGTTCAGGTGGCCTTGGGGCCATCCCCAGCTGTAAGCCTGGCAACTCCATCCCCGCACAAGGCAGGTGTGGGACCTAACCCAAGTCCAAAGCCAACCAGCACAGGGTTCATGTACAGACAGGTTAGGGCAAAGCTTACTTTTGTTCTTATGACGTAGGATTTTCATCAACCCCATTTTACAGACAAGAAAATGGAGGCAAAGAAAGGATAGATTGAATTACTGTTCAGAATTATTCACTCCCTGTATCCTTGGGGCAGAATAAATTTTCCTGCCCCACGGCTTTGGCCTTGGCCACATGACTTGCTTTGGCCAATAGGCGGTGGGCAGAAGAGACAGGATGTCTCTTAAGAGGAGGCCTTAGGAAACAGCATGTTTCTGTTCAATGTCTTGCAGATTTATGATCTGTCATGGCAGAACGTATTCCATTTAGGTTCTGATCTGAAAGAAATATGGAGACACATGGGGTGCACTGACCCCAACCCACAACCTGGAGTGAAGTTCAACTGACTCATAGCCTGAAACAGAGCTACCTAGTTGAGTCCAGCTAGGCCAACCAATTGCACTCAACCTAGAGAGCAGTGGATATGAGATGAAATATTTGCACAGGAAGCCTCTGAGAATTTGAGGCTGTTTGTTATACAGCATCACTATGGCAAACACTGACTACTGCAGAAGTGTTAAATGACTTGATTGAGGGTCGCACAGCTAATGAGTAGAAGAACCAGGGCCAAGAATTTTGGCCTCCGTATACACCCTATCTAGTGCTTATCTGAAGGCTTCAGCTAAAGGCAGCCAGTAATGAGAACAGAACAGGGGGTGAGGGTTCTCTGTAGGCATTGTAGACTTTCTCTGGCTTGCCTTCTTTATCTGTCTAATGGAGATAGTAAGCTTAGTGTGTGCCCACACATCTCTGCTACTGCTGGAACTTCATCACCTTACATCTCACATTGGAGATGGAGAGGTTTGAGGAAGAAAACCATGTATTAGCAATCTTTCTGTTGTATGAGCTATAAGGAAACTTGGTAAGACAATTAGACAAAAATTTCTCCCCTTATTTGAAGGCTGTTTGATGGGTAAGCTGATTTTCTGTTAAAAGAATTTCTTAAGAATGTAATATATTTTAGGTATATTTATGGATATGAATTTTCCTTTCAGTGTCGCTTTGGCTGCACCCTCTAAGTTTTAGTATCCATTGCTCTCATTTTATTTAATGTCCAAATGGTATGAAATGTCTAAGTAGAATGTAATTTCCTTTGAATTTCCTCTTCAGTTTAACTTATTTGGAAGTTTTAAAAA